CCCCTCTCCTTCTACATGAATAATGGGGGAAGAAAAGTCCATTACAATATTCTGCAGACAACTGATGCAACAGAGTATGACAGCAAAACTGATAAACCATTATTTCACAAATAAATTGTTATATATGAAATATTTGAAAGCTTTATAAATCTTTTAAAGCTTGTTATAGTTTGCCCTTATTTTCCAGACAGAAGTAGTCCATCTATATTAAATTTTGTAAGGTGCTAGTACAGTTTCATTATTTTCCTTTTTTCCTTTTTTTTCACTCCTATACAGTAGGATCAATTACTATAGTTGCTATCAAAATCACATTTCCCTCAGGGTGCACTTAGTAAATAAAAACAACAGTCCCAATCGAATATCCTAGATTAAATTATCCTGATGGCTTGAAATGTGCTGGTTTGGAGGTTCCCAGAGGGCAGAGGCAGCTTGCATCAAAAACATAGGAAGCACATTGGCAGAACTGTCACTCAGCTTAGAAAGCAGTGAATTTTCTCTCTCCCCCCTCTCCCATGCCTCCCTCCATTCTTAGTGACTGTGGTCTTTCCATGTCAAAATGAAGGTCATTGCCAAGGCAACCTGGTACAGCTGTACAGTACTTGACATACGGATAAATGGTCAATTTTACTCCCAGTGTCAGTGGTGACAGAATGATGTCCTAGGCCCTAATCAAGATTTAAATATGAGCTCTCATTAGTATAGTCCACTTAGAAACTAAGGGCTCATCTACACTTCTAGTAATTTAACAAAAAAGCTATTCTAGAACAAGAGGGTTTTGCACAATGGTTTTGCCGGAATTGAGGCACATGTTCTGCAACCAGCTGATGCCTTTCTTGCAATCTTTGGCAGTCAGGGAGCCATTGCCATACATGAGTATTGTTCACCTGGCTGAAAATGATTTGTGAGTTTGTAAGTTGGTTGACTTGATCATTAGAAAAAAAGAGAGATTTGGGGCAAATCCAGGATCTTATCTTAGGAGTGATTATAAATTGACCTGAAATGCGGCAACAGAGGGTGTGTTGGAAATCATCAGGGCTATATGGGTTGACAAGGAGCGAAGGCATATGAATCAGGAGATGCCTAAATTTGTATGTGAAAAAATTACCCATACAAAAATCATCCATCAGAAAATATTACAAAGTACTTCATGGACAATGGGCTACATACCTAACCAAGAAGGGAGAAGACATATTTTTGGCCAAATTTCAAAAGTGAATTTGTAACTTTCTGGGAACTCATCTAGTAATGAAGCAAAGGTAACCAAGACAATTGTTGCTGTTTTGTGGTAGGTGTCCAGTGAAAGAACTCATTCTATAAGGGGTACAATTTTCTGATAAACTAGCAACAAGTGAAGCTGGGGGAAGCTGAGGAAGTGGGTTTGGGACTTCTAAATTTGAAAGAACAGGAAGACAACCCCCCTTTCCAGCCCTTTCAAAGGGTTTTGTCTTTTTCAAATACATGGAAAACAATTAAGAAAAGAATGGACCTGCACTGTGTGGTTTATTGCAGTGTTTCTCAAAGTGGGCCGTGGGTTCACTCTGAGAATGCTGTTAATGGAATGCTCAGGTTTGTTTACTTAACAGCTCCGAGGTCACGGCTGCGGAGCATCACGACTCCCATTGGCTGCAGTTCACAAGGGGAGGGAATTGGGTTTATTTAGTCTGCAGAAGAGAATAGTGAGGGGGGATAGCAGCCTTCAACTTCCTGAAGGGAAGTGCCAAAGAGGATGGAGAGAGGCTGTTCTCAGAAGTGATGGATGACGGAACAAGGAGCAATTGTCTCAAGTTACAGTGGGGGAGGTCTAGGTTGAATATTGGGAGAAACTATTTCACTAGGAGGGGGGTGAAGTACTGGAATGGACCAAGCCCTGGCTGGGATGATTTAGTTGAGATTGGCTCTGCTTTGGGCAGGGGGCTGGACTCGATGACCTCGTGGGACTCTTCCAGCCCCAGGATTCTATGATTCTATGACCCAGGCCACTGTTTCCCGCGGCTCCCTTGGCCGCAAACTGTGAACTGCAGCCAATGGGAGCTGTGAGGCTCCGTGACTGCAGAGCTGTTAAGTAAACAAACCAGAATGACCCATTAGCAGCTTTTTCAAAGTGGCCCTGGGGTATTTTCCATATGAGTTAATAATGCCTCACTCATATTCCATGCATGGGAGAGCAACAGAAATGATTAGTACTCTAGAAAATATGATTTATGAAGGAAGACTAGAAAAATTGTGTTTATTTTGTTTGGAAAAGAAAAGATTGAGTGAGACATCTTAACAAGAGGACGATAAATTGTTCTTCTTAACCCCTGAGGACACAACAAGAAATAAGGGGCTTAAATTGCAGCAAAGGAGATTTAGCTTAGACATTTTCAAATACTTACTAACAGTAAGGGCAGCTAAGCATGAAACAAATTACCTAGGGAAGTTGTGCAATCTCCATAACTGGTGATTTTTAAGAACTAGCTAGACAAACAACTCTAAGGTATGGTCCAGTCAGTATTTAGTCCTGCCTCAGTACAGAAGGCTGTACCAGATAACCTACTGAGGTTCCTTTCAGTTCTGCATCTACGATTTCATGTTCCAGACAAACTGCTGTTATAGAATGCTGGTGAATCATATTATTTTCTACAAGCTTGATGTCTAACTAATGAACTTGCAGACAATGCACAGTATAGACCACGATGTAGTATACAGAATGGCAACGTCTACATTTTCTACTTTGAAGTAGGAATAAGACCCTCCGGAAAAGGGCACTTTTTCCGGAGGATCGGGGCCAGTGTAGACGCTCTTTTCCGGCTTTTTTAAAAGCCGGAAAAAAGCGGCGGACATTTTTATTTAAATGCCGCGGGGGATATTTAAATCCCCCGCGGATTTCCCTACGACGACTCATGAAATTTACATGCCCCTTCCGGAAAAGGGGCCAGTGTAGACGAGCCCGCGGATTTCCCTACGACGACTGGTGAAATTTACATGCCCCTTCCGGAAAAGGGGCCAGTGTAGACGTAGCCAATAAGATTATGAACATGACAACCTGTAGGAATAAATGCAATCATGCACACATGCAGCAGATTCATTTTATGGGGCTGAGGTGCTGGCAATTTCCAATATTGTGTTCATTCAAGCTACACAGCAGGGCTTGAATATGGACCCATGAACCTTATTTGTAGGACCTAAAATATAGGTTATTTAATTAACAGCAAATGAACAGTAAATAATAAAAACAGACATTTCTTTCAGTGAATTTTCTTGAAAATAGAATTACATTTAAAAGCCTCTAATGGTGACCTCTAATGGTGCCATAGAAATAGAGTAGGCAGCTTAGGGAATCACCAGGGGCATGAACATTAAGGCGACTCAAAAACTGTGCATGGTATGCCTGTACACAGCTCCTTTACCAATTACATAGAAAGGGTTTTCATTTTATATATTTCCTTTTTTAAAAACCTTGAGTACTCCCTTTGAGAATAAGGTTATCAGATTCACTAACAGTGAAACAAGTATATAAAGTACCAAATGCCAACAGTGGGATCCTCTTTGCTGTTGTACGTTGCTTTTGAAAAACATGAAATTACCAGTTATAAATATGGTAACTTTTACCAATTTAAAAAGCATTGAAAACTGCACAGTAAACCTTTCAGACCAGTTATGTGGGTTTGCATGTCAACTATTTTTAAATGTATTGCATCTGTGTTGCTGCAGTCTAATTTTTTAATTTTTATTTCAGTCCATTCAAAGTAACTCTGGGGAATAGAATGGTTCTTTTACTCTTTTCAGATTCCATACTGTAATTTGTAATCTCATATCTACTAACACAATCTATTGACATTATCATGTTAGTTTTTTAAATATTCTAACAGGAAAGTATTATTTGATAATATATTGCCCTTTTGTACATATGACTGTAAAATAATGTTCCGTTTAAAAATTTTGGGGTCACATTTCTGATGTTTTCAATAATAGAGCTACAAGAATACTGTTAATTAGAATTGGTAATTTCATACATATTTCATAAGAAATAATCAAACAAAAGAGAGAAAATAGGAACACAAACAAGGTATACAAAAATCAAACCAAAATGAACATAAAAATGCCACTAACCCAAAGCATGAACTGTTCTTCTATGCTTCTTTGAAATCTTGCTTGTCTTAATTATATGTAGCGCATTTTCTTTGAACTGCAGTTCACAAAGTCTTTCAAGAAGAATTGTTATTTCTTCTGTGATGGTATCCAGATAAGCTTCATTAATAAACATCAGTGTTGAGGAAGGATCTATAGTACCACTTAGTATATACAAATCCTCTTTTATCATTGTGCATAGTGTAGGTATTGAACTTTGGTAACCATGCACCACCTTATCAAAGTTTGTTTCACCACAGCTAGATAGAACACAGTTCTGCAGAAGCTCAGAAACCAATTTATTCTGTATGTTTTGGTACTTAGTTAGAACTTCTGATTCTGGATATAGAAACAAAAGTTGCTGTATGCATTGAGTTTTAAACTGTATTTGATGTTTTAAAGTAACAGTATTTGTTTCATGAGGACTCTGAAGTGTATTTACTAAGAATCGTCGAAGGTGTAATCTCACATCATCCCAAACAGATTTGATGTTCATAGATGAATCATCCTCAATGGCATGAAGGGAAGCTCTGGATGTTAATTCAAAAGATGTTCCACTTGGAGTACATGGAAATGAGACTCCACACTGACTGGAGAGATCCAGAAGAAAGTGAAGTATCATTTCTTCTTGGTTTTGTTCATTCCTCAGCAAGCTTTGCTAATAATGGTAAATTATATAGTATTTAGAGATGTTGCATGAATAAACTGTTTACAAAATTAACTTTGTGTTAAAGATGCAAATTATTTTTAATTACAAACTACAAAATGATCATTTCTTTCTAATTAACTTGATTTCTCCAAGTCCCTGCATGTTAGCCCAGGCACAGAGTATGAATTCTCTTACCAATAAGGAGCTATAGGATAAAAAGTACAGTTTTTTTTCTGATGTCACTTTCTGTATAAAATGGCTATCTGGCTGATTTTGTTCAATTAAATATTCCCAAAGCAATGACAATTATAAATAACTACAATATATACAGGAAAACTTTCAAAAATGCAAACTTAATTTCATAAATACAATAAGATGATGTCTATGCGGACATAAAAGGTTTTAAAGTAACCAAACCAACAGGTAGGAACATACATTAACTTTTCTCCTCTATACCTTTCTAAATAGTATTAATTTTAAAGGCATAGGATAGATACTAGAAAAAACAAAGACTGATGAATCATACCCCATAGGAGCTGCCTACCATTGGCAGACACTGTAATACAAAATCTGCAGCAACACGTAGCATGGAAGAACATCCATAGTATCACTGGCAGAAATTTTTTCACTTAAGTACTTTTTGACAAAAAAATGGCTTTTCACAGAAAATGTTCATGTTACAGTGAAACCTTTGTTATCTGGCACTCTATTAACCAGAAAACTTTGTTAAGTTGCATTGCCCCCAGCCACAATACTGTCACATCTTCAGGCACACAGGCCTGCTTGGTTTATCACGATTGGCTTAACAATTTTTTTATTTAAGAAGTACTAATCATCTTTAACTCAAAATAGAAATGTGAGATCAATTGCCTCACACTACAAAACCTGAGTTTTACTATTATTGTCCATTGGTTTTTCCTAGGTTAATGGGGATCCTCAGATAACTGGAATTTTTAGATAACCAGAACGCCCTAATCCCAAAGTGTGACGGATAACACAGGTTTTACTGTAATAGAAATTTTCAAAGGAAAAAATTAGAAAGGAAAAAAAATTATTTTGTCTATGTAATTAGAGAACAAATAATTTTTCACATAAATATTTTCATAGTACAACTAGGCAGTTCTCCCAGCATCAGCTCTTCCAATTTCATGGAGCCAGCCCCTAGTTTGTGGTCTGTCCAACTTCATGAGGAGTAAAATTCAGAATATGTCAGCAAAACATATTTTATCAGAAAATGCTGAAAAAAATATTCCTGAAAGGGGTCAGTTTCGATGAATTTCCCATTTTGAAAAAAATAATGTTGAAGTTGTTAAAATGTCCTGTTTTGGCATTTCCTAAATGGAAAAATATCAATGTTGGGGGGATCAAAATGAAATTTTACTTCAAATGTAAGTTAATTTATAATAAAAAAGTAAAAAGGAAGACATTTTGACCCGATCAAATTTATCTGAGGGATTTTCAGTTCACAAACATTCTGAGATGTTGATGTTTTGGATGGCAAAAATATTAGAAATCTTTAGGAATTCTCCTGAGATAGGAGAAAAATTCTTTTCTACCCAGCTCTGCTCTAAAAAGCTACATCACCACTGTGAACCTATTTCGAGACACCTGCAATATCCCAAAATAGCTATCCCGCATCTTAACAGTGTGCCCTTTATTTCAAAATATAATGGGCTCTCTATTCTCATGTCCCCATAAACCTTGTTCCACGAGGAGGAAGGGGCGTTTCGGAATAGTGGGTTATTTCAAAATTGACTCAAAATAAGCTACACAATTTGCACAGCTCAAATTGCATAGCTTATTTTGAGCTACAGGTGCAGTGTAAATGCACATGTGCGTGTGTGTGTGTAAAACAAAAGCTCTGTCCTAAGTTAGATAATACTGATTAAAAAAAGGATAGACTGAAGAAAAACTAAAAAAAATGACCAGGTAACATAACTTCTCATCTGATGAAGAAGAGAAAACAAAGGAATAGTACAAATCAGCCAACCATATGCATTTATAAAGTGAATGGCATCACAATAATGTTTGTTTTTTCCTCTCTTCCTCTTACTTCTTGCATGATGATTTATATGCACTCTCCAGACTGACAGTAAGGGTATGTCTACACTTCAACAACTCAGGCCCCTCCAATGCATTATACACAATCTACAACCCATCTTGGAAAATGATCCCTCGCTCTCAGAGGCCTTAGGAGAAAAACCTATTCTTGCTTACAGACAACTTCCTAAACTGAAACACATTCTTTCTGATAACCATGCCACAACCACATCACAAACCTCCAGGAACTCGGCCCTACAATCAAAAAAGATGCCAACTCTGTCCACATATCTACACTGACGAATTCATCACTGGAGCAAACAACATAAGCCACAACATCAAAGGGTCATTTGACTGCACATCTAGTAATTTGATATATGCCATCAAATGACAGCAGTGCTCCACTGCTATATATATTGGACAAACTGGATGGTCTCTGTATATATAAAAGGAACACACAAAAGTCAACTGGAGAACATTTCTGCTTGCCTAACCATACTCTGACAGACCTGCAGGTGGCGGTCTTCACACAAGCCAGCTCTTCAAGCCAAATCCACAAGGAAAGCTTTGAATTACAGTACATCCACAAATTCAATTCACATGCTAATGGACTCAATCGATATATGGGCTGATGGGGACTCTACCACTGAAGGTACTAACAGCTTTCTGAGCGGTAACCTTCTTGTCTCAGCAATCTATTTATTAACTTTGATCTTTATCAGCTTAGGTTTAAGTACCCATTCTCCAGATACTTAATAATGCCTTGTTCCCCCCCAACCCTTCCTCCCTTTTTCCTTTCTCTTCCCCTCTCCTATTTATTTATATCCCCTACTCATAACTTCAGTCATCTGAAGAAGTGGGCTGTGCCCACAAATGCTCATGATACCATCTACATGTTTTGTTAGTCTATAAAGTGCTACCAGACCAGTTGTTGTTTTTTTCTGTCAAGCTGGAGGACTTCTTACTCCGACTCCTGTAATCCTTATTGTATGAGGAGTAAGGGAAGTCGGAGGAAGAGTGCTCTATTTCAAAATAAGTGCTATGTAGATGCTCCCAATTTCAAAATAAGCTAGACAATTGATGTAGCTCAATTTGCGAAGCTTATTTTGAGTTAAGCCCTGCTGTGTAGATGCACCCCAAGTTCCAAACTGCTCTATCTGATTCAGACCAGGGACTTGAACCTGAGTCTCTCATGCATTCCAAGTGAATGCCCTGAGCACTGGGCTAGAGTATTAGTCTCTCTTGTTATTATTTAGACCAAAAGGGGAGAGTAAGAGAAACAGAGATATTTACTCTATTCAAATTATGGTTTATATTCACTCTTGTGAAACTACAAAAGAATAAGTACAAAATATACTACATAAATAGCAGAAAAATAAAAATAAATATTTTAGATAATATATAAAAAACCTGCAGATTTTTTTTACCAAGGTTTTAAGAAATTCAATCAATTCTCCTTGAGGCGTAGAATACGGTTTGAGGGAACTGAAACAGCAGTTATTCAGCCAATGAAGGCAGTCAGTTGTGTTTTGTAACAGCTCATCAGTACAAGTCTCATTTACTTCTGACTGTAGATCCTTAAGGCATTGTTCCATGCTAAAAACAAAAACAAAAAAACAAGCATTCAAACTTTTATTCTAATATTTAAAGATGAAAGGTTTTTATATAGCATATCTTTTCAAGAAAGGAAAATACTTTAAATGTGTATAACATTATAATATAACATATCTGATATAAGGCTTATAAGTATTAAGTCTAATTCTAAAGAACTAACATTTCTTAAAGGAGTGGGACTAGATCTACAGTAAATTTTCTTAGGACCAGAGAAAACCAACCTTACTCGAAATAAATTTCACTTTGATCCTCAAATATTCCTATATTTTCCAGTAAGGACTACTTGCAAAGTAAGGCATTACTCAACATAAAACTGACTTTATTTGGCCCTTCTAGTTAAATGGATAAAAAATATAAGTAGAAGCAACTACTGAATTCACAGCTAAATGTGTCATTCTTCTTCAGCAATCAGCAGCTGTTTTATAACATATTTACTGTAGTAGGGATAAGCAAAAGCTTATCGAATAGTCGACACACTAGTCGACTGGTCACTTCCCCCCCTTTGATGCCTCTATCAGAAAGAGGCAGCAAGGGGTGGAAGAATAGGGGATGCTGGGGAGCCAGCTTAAAAGCTGGTTCTCCCTAGCTCCAGGAGAGGGGGTAGGGATGCAGAAGCAGCATTCCATCTTTGAAATGTACAAAAGCCCCAGTTTCAAAGATTGAAACACCATGTGGAACCTGGGACCAGCTGTCTCTGGGCTCCATGCGGGCACTTCTGCTTTGAAATGTACATTGACTGAAACGCCGTATGGTGTCCGGGGCCAACAGGAGTCTTAAGTTCAATGCGGCACTTCAATCTTTGAAATGCACAAGAGCCCTTACTGGAGCTCTTCTGCATTTCAAAGTGAAAGCGCCACATGGAGCCCAGACTCAGCGGGGGACTCACCACTGGTCCCAGGCTCCATGTGGCATTTCAGTCTTTGAAATGCACAAGAGCCCGTAGGTGGGGCTCTTGTACGTTTCAAAGACAGAACACCGCATGGTTCTTCTGCCTTTGAAATGTAGCAACAGTCAGGCAGGCTCCTGCTATATTTCAAAGAAGAAGCACCTTCATCAACTAACTGAATAGCTGATGGAAATTCCATTGACTATTCGAATAGTTGATTAATCTAATTTTAACATCCCTATACTGTAGCAGTTACTTACAAACCACTGATATTTCACTGAAAAACTTAAAAATAACATTTCTCCTGGTAAAGCAAATATTTTCTTTCCCTTGTCCTCACTAGAATATTTGAATGAAAAATTAAATATTTGTTCATTAGAAGCTGATCTACATCTGTTCCTTATTCTTACCTAAAATCATAACCTTTTTTATTATATCAGAAGTGCTTGGAGTAGAAATCATTAGCATTTCAGGTTGGGAGAAAAATAGCAGGAACAAAAACAAACTTTCCATTTCCATGAAAACATCCTCAAAACCAGAAAAAGGAGAAAAAGCAAGAAAAATGTCTCAGAAATAACCGTGTTTAGACAGCCATTTCCTAAATCAAATACTTTTCAAGATTTCCCTTGGTGTCTATTATTCTATAATAAGAAAATATTAAACATCACTTAGATTTTGGTCTTACAAAAGCAGAACCAGCAGCGATGTGGATCAGTGATATTGAGTGAACTAACCTTGTTGGTATTCCAGTCAGCACCGTAACTATATTCCCTTAATGAGATGGGGGTACATCCATGTTTATCCTTGTCTACTCTACTGGTATGGATCCCAAGATCTGTTTTATCAGAATCAGCCATGATTTTGATTATATAAATATTCTCAGTTTGTATTATCTATAGATGATTCTGTTTATTTTGTTTATTTATTTCAAGTTAATTTATTGCTGGTAAAGGATGCAAATGTAAATTTAATCCTCTATTTCTTGTGGCTTTTCTACTGTTGGTTCATGCAGTAGCTAGTTAAACCTGCATGTAACTGAAGCTGGGAGTGTCCCTGCCTATGTAAATGCTAGTGAAAGTGTAAGACAAAGAGTGGTTTAGAGCTCCTCACAGCAGCACAGTGAAAGAGAAAGCCCAGGCTGGCTAGCTAGAGGGTTCCATGGTATACCCTCAGTTTCAAATGTGGCACCCCAGGAGAAACCTGTTACACCCCACTACATGAAAGCAAGAAAACCTAGTCCAAATTTTCAGTTTGTTCTAAATGGCATAAAAAAATCAGAATGTACTAACTTAGGCTGAGTTAGAGGTGATCTAGAAATCACGGGTGTCATTGCTGTAAGTCACTCAGGGATCATGTTTTTATCTTTAAGTTTTGCTTGGAAAATGTGTTTACTTTTTTAATGGATCTTTTCATCTTACATTTAGCAAATATTTAAATTTCCCTTCTTCACTTATTATGCATCATATCCAACCTTGTTTCATCTCATGCATTGCCTTAGTTGATCAGCATCAGCTGGGCTGCCAGTGAGAGGGGTATCATGGCAACAGCAGCAGATGGAACCCTGGGCCCTTTAAATCACCATCAGAGCCCCACGCAGTGTGGTCCAGGTGGCATTGAGGGCTGACTGGGGAATGCTAACCCCTAGCTCTGCTTCTTTCATGGAGGCCCCACCTCTGCTGGAGGCCCTGCAGCGAAGCCCCACCCCACATTGCCTAGAGCCCAGCAAAGTCTTTTGACAACTATGGGCAACTGTGATAGCACGAATGTCATCTCACAGCTCTGGGAATTGGGTTTGTTAATGTATATTTATTTTTTCATTGTATTTTGGGGTAGGATGGAAAATGACACATGAAATAGCAAAAAGAGTGATAGATACACAGTAACTAGACATTTGTAGTTTCTTTTAAAAATAATAGCAAAATTTATTTCCTCAAAAGATTTCTGGAACCCAGGTGATACAAATTATCAATATATATTCTACAGCTCTCTGGTCTGGCATGATTTTAGTTAGCTGGATGTCCACTTATCATAGTTGTGGTCAAGCTTCCTTCAGTCCCTAAAGTTTGCTTACAGTTAGGCTCCCGTGTTCTCTGCTGTTATTTAGCTCCAATTCACCCCTAAATGTTTTCTAAGAGCCAAGTAAGCAGAGAAAATATTGACCTGCCATCTGGAAATTTCTCTTGTTCAGCACTGGTCAGGTCCAGAGGGTGCCGGACTAATGAGGTTCAAGCTGTACAATAGGTTAAATTTGGAACTTCTTCTATTTGTCCCTTTAAAATAATTCAAATCAATAATTATATCAGACTGAATAAAAAAAGAAGTCCATTGCAAACAGGGAGAGCGAAAGATTACATTAATTGTTGAGATACTGTCAAATTTTGGAGGAAATAAAAATATATTAGGCAAAATATGTTCCTATGTTTCAGAAAAAATCCTCAGGTCATTTAAAAATCACAACATTTTAAATGTGTCCTTTTACAACAGTTTACTCTTACACACTATATTAGTAGCAGCTCTGTATTAAAGATTGTGAGAAAGTGTATTGTAATATATTTAAAAACACGAAGTGAACAGTTCAGAATATCTACTCTATTCTATGAAGATGCCAAGTTTTAAACTGCATCACCATAAGAAACCAAACTCACTGACAACACCCAATTCAAAATTATATGCAAGCCCCTTTAAAATGAATCATGTGTGGGTGGTCTATAAAATACACTACATAAAAAGGTGAAGTAAAGGTCTTTTCAAGAAAACTCTGAGTATGAGCAACTTTAAAATTAAGTGCACTGAAACAAATATCTTCTGAGCATCAAAGGGCCTTTTCATGAGTGCAAAGGACTTCCATGAAAAATAATACTTCTTTAACTGTGGCCCACTCAATTTCCTGATGGGATAACTCCATCCATGAATAGCCATTCTGAACACAATAAAAGATTGACATGTATCTTTTCAACTTGTGCGAACTGTTCTCAGGACTCTGAAATACAATGCCCTGTCCATACACCTTAGCTCCTGGGACACTATATCAAATACTTTTATTTATGAGCCTGATGTGTCCCATTTAATGAAACCTAACAGATTACAGCATTGTGAATTGTAAAGACTCAGGTGTTGTTAGACTACCTAAATCAATTTCAATTAGGTTAAATCAGCTTTCAGACTAATCTCTGACATCTGAATCAGGGCAGTAGCCGATGAACTACAAACCATTAATAGGCTAAAGCCTTCCCAGGACCAGATATTTTAGCAATTTGTCCTAACACTGATAACGGGATTAGTCAGACAAATTTCAGTGGACCTCCGTGCAAGGAACAAATAATAGTTCAGTTCAATTTATTTGATCTTTTTATCCCAATAAACTAAACATATTTTTTTGTCTAAAACTGTACTTTTTACACTGGATAAAAACTTTTGCATATTGTTTAATTCATATCATGCTGTAGTAAAGCAGTATCTCAGTATTACTTTCCCCTCCTGTTCTTTACAAGGTTGTATAAGACACTTTATACTATTAGTACTCGTTCATTTATAGCTCTTTAATCCACTGTAGAATTATATCACTCAATAAAATATTTAGGAATTAGGTGATGAATAAACAACTTTAAACGTTCTATGCCCATTTTTATACTATAGAAAGAGCTAAACTTAAATATGTAATGCTTTTTTCAAATGATCAAAGTAAACAGGCTGTCAGGCTTACAACTATTCTGATAAAAATGTAAATAAAAGCTAGCCTCTTATACTAAATCTTATTCCAGGAATGAGGACCTGTAGCTTTGTCTGTCCTATCACTGAGCAGCCTATAAGCACAGAACTCCACTTGCTTGATCGAGGCGGTCAGATGGCTAGCTCTTAAACCCAGCAGCTGCCGAGTACCAGCGGCTGTTCATTGCATATGGATTGGCTGTCTCCCTGTGGTTACTTCATTCAAAGCCTTTCTTCAACTCAGACCCTCTCTGTATTCACCTTTCTTCCAGCCTGCTCCTGCCTTCCCTGGCTCCAAGTAATACAGTTTTAACTCTCTGCTCCAATTTCTGTGTGTGGCATTTGGACTCTGACTATGATTCTTACCCTCAACCACTTCTGGTTCTCC